AGACGACCAATAAAGAGTGAAGTAGAGTGATGGAAAGGCGGGGCTAGCAGCGGCGCTGACCAATGGCGCTGGGCTCACCTGAGCGGCGGGGATCTGTGAGGGGAGCGGGGGAGGGTCGGTCTGAGGGGACGCAGAACAGGCCGGACTGGCCCAAACTATCCCAGAACATGACAAACCAACCCAAAACAAGTGAAACCAACCCAAACCATGCCAAAATACGCCGAACCAATGCAAACCAACCCCAAACAAGCTAAACCAACCCAAAACATGATGAACCAACCCAAAACATCCCACAACAAGCAAACCAAGCCAAGCCAACCCAAAACAAGCGAAAACAACCCAAACCAATCCAAACCAAGCCAAAACAAACCATTCCAAGAACATGCCAAGCCAAACCAGCACAGCCCTGCCCACCTCAGTGTTAAGTACGCCAGGCTCACCTGACACAGCCGAGGGGTGTCCAACCAGACGCAGACTCCACTCGGTCCCTCACGTCAAAGATGCTGGCAAGTGTTAAAATGGAGACCACCACTCCGAGGCACCACAGGGCTGAGAGAAGGGCCCTCCTCGGAGCACGACTCGGCTGCCTGGTTGCTGCAGCCTCCTGGGTTCAGGGTGTGATTTATTGGAGGGGTCAGTTGTGCCTCTTGGATACTGTCCGGCTTCAGCCTAGCTGGAGGAGAACCTATGATCCTGGTAGAGGTTGATGAAACCTAAAGCTCTGTCTCAAGACCTCTCCCAAAACTTGTGCTTTCCACTCACAGGGGTTGGTATACACATGCATAGCACCCAACAGCTTTGTGGGAAAGGCTTTTATCATCCCTATTCCCAAATCCAACAGCTGCCCAGTTTCACCAGCTGTTCTCGGACAGCGTAACTACCAGGTTCTCACACCCATGCAATGCAACCTGGTCTAATGCAAGGTGTCCCTGCCCACTGAAGGGGGGTTGAAATGAAATCTTTAAGGTCCATTCCAACCCAAACTGTTCTGGGATTCCATACCAATGCTTGCTTAGCATCTCATCCTCAAAAACATGTTTTCCAGACATCCAGACCTTCCTTCAAACACACTCCTTAGTATCACTGTCAATATCCCCATATTCTTGTGGTATCACTGATCCCACTCAGGATGTTTCCCTTGCCCTTTTCTTAAACTTTCCCATTCCAGTAGAGGCCAACACAGGCTTTGTGTTCCCTTGAGCTCCCTTCAATGAGTATCTCCAAGGGCACATACCTCTTACAACCCCTCCCTCCCTCGTTTCAGTATGTCTCAATCTCCAGGATGTCCCAGTCGAAAATATGACTTTGGTGTATCTTCACAGCTCAGATAGTTGTGCTGCAAATGTAATGTACTTTCACCCTGTTAAGCATCTAATTAAATATATATCTCTTTTATTAAATCTGTGCCATAAAACATGGAATTTTTTCAAAGTGGATCAGATTCGTGTTCCTGCATCTAAGTCAGGTCCCCTCCTACTAGAATTTGCATTCAATCTTTTTTGCCTTAATGCGGTAGTAGAGTGGGTAATAAGTTTGGTTTTCCATTATTGGTTACTTCTGGTTTATGGCTCTGAAAGAGAGGTGAAGAGAATTAAAGTTAGGATTCAAGCCATCCCAATAATGTTTCCAAGTTTATTACTGTTGGGAGAATAGCCTCAGTTTGAGACTGTGCTCCACTGGAGAGAGTTTTCCACCATGACTGTTAAAGGATTAGTGGTATCTTAATATGGGGTTTTCTATTGTTTTGATGGATAAAGAGAGAGACTCTTCAAATCCTTGGAACAAAACTTGAGGATAATTTTCACAAGAACTGTCCATGGAGGCAAATGTCCACCTACAGCCAGGGAGTCTGTGTTCAAGACTTTGAAATCTAGGCATATGTTAACAGACATAATTAAATAAAAATAATAATGTTCAAGTAAACAACTTTATAGCAAAATTTAAATATTTTCCTGTTGGACTTATAACCAAAATATAGGTGTATCACCTTAGGATGGGCAAGCAAAACATGTATTTAATCTGTGCTTTGACAGCTCTAGACCTCACAAAAGAGGGTTGTACGCACTGACCATGACTTAAACATTTTTGCCATCCATTTTTAGTGTTACCTTAAAGTAACGTGTCTTACCTTAAAGTAAATGACTATGGGACAGGAGAGATGAGGGAGAAGCCTAAGGCTGACCTTATAAAGTTCTTTCCTTTAGACACAGCACACACAGAACAAATCTACTTTCCAGCCAGTCGCTCCAGACTCCCAGCCCTGCTTGCAGTGCACACTCCATTGTCTATTAGCAGCTGGTTCAGAAGCACAGGAGGAGTTTGAGGAGGTATAATGTAGATAAGAGTAATTGCTGCATGGCTGGGAACAGCTGTAGACTGATGGTTTTGATTCATTTTGTTTTGGTTTTGTTTTTTTTTAACTTTTTATTTTTAACTGTCTGCAGAGTTTGTGGAAGGCTGGGAGGGTTTGTTTGGATGCTCAGATGTCTTTCAGTAGTTAACACAGCTGGGGGAACAGGCAGTGCTTGTGTTGACATACCATTCATAGTGCTAGAAAGATTACTAGAAAAAGTTGAAAACAGATGGATTGTTTTTCCCTAATAAGCCTCAGTTTAGGGGGCGGGATGCTTAGCACCTATAGGCTGCCTTCTTGCCCCAGTTATAGCCTATTGGGGAAAAAAAATATAAAAAACTCCCGTGATAACCTGTCAGATGGGGTTGTGGTCTGAGTGCCTTGGGGAAGGGCAGGTCTTCTGCTCCTCAGATGGCTGCTGATGAGCAGAGTGCTGAGGCCTCCCCTGCAGACCCAGAACAGGAGAGCCCGCAGAATGGTTTAGAAGCTGCAGCAACACGTCACCAGAGGAAAAGGAGGAGGGGAAACAGGCGATATCGGAAGAGTCAGTGCAAGAAGAAGCATCAGAACTTGGAAGGATGTCAGAGACTCGAGGTAGGTTTCTTAAAAGTTTGGAGGAAAGGGAAATGTTGGAATGGTTGAAATTTTGGTAAGATGGCCTGGTAACTGTGGAGTGCAAGCCTAGAGTTGATGTGTGTGTGAGGAGTTTTGATAAAACAGCAGGTTTTTGAAGAAGTAGAGCAAAAGGGGAGACTGATTCTTGTTACTGTAAAAGCAGAAGAGGGAGATTTGAGAGAAATTTCAGTGTGGAGATAATGGAATGGGAGAGGATATGACTGTGGCCTATGCTTTTGTGAAGTAGGGACCCAAGAAAAAACTTGAGAAGGACCAAAAGTATAGTTGTTTTATTTGGTGTTGGGGTGTTTTTTTGGTTTGTGTTTTTCTTTTTTGGTTTTGTTTTGTTTGGGGGTTTTTTGAGGATATGGCTCCAGAGATGTGTAACAGAAAGGTTGCGAGGAAAAGGTGGAGGAAAACAAAATACGATGAAGGAACTCTTATTCTCTTATGCATGTGAGGTGTTAAAACATAAACTATATCGTTAGCTCTTATCCCAGCGGATATCGAGGATGGGATTAATGAGAATATTGAAAGATGTGGTTATGAAGTGAGAGGTGAATGTACACAAGAAATGCCCGGCTCTGATGTGACCTTGGACATTGTTGTCTCTCCTTGCAGGAAGGAACCTGTGGGGATGTGCAAAAAGGACAAGGAGAAAGCTCTGGTCTGGTTGTGTTTTAATGATCTCAGAGAGCCTAACCTACAGCTTGCCCCTTTAGTCTAGTGTTGAATTGCAGGGAAAAACAAGCATTTGATGGACTTGGGAGTCGAACTTGTACAACGGTGTGGCAGATGGCATGTTTTATTAGCCTGTGAATTCTTGGTTTTCACTAACAAAAGGGGCTTGGAATTAATAAAGTCCATATGTTTATACCTTCAAGGAAATGGGTGTCCTATGACCAAGCACAGAACCAGTTTATGCTGAGGACTAGATATCTGTGCCTGTGGTTAAAAATTTTAGCGTAGCTAAAGGTTTATTTTGGAGTAGCTGACAGTAAATAAAAAGGAAAGCCTGCTTCAGAAAGCTATTGCAAAATCACCTCTAGTAATGGTAATTATTGAGTTTCCTGGTGCCCAGGTCTTATAGCAGTATTAAGTGTCTATAGCTGGTGTGTATGGTAGAGATCAGTATCCTCTAGAAAAGCTCAGCTACTTGTTCCCAAAATTGTCTGCCAGCATCCCCCCCAGCAGAGCAGCCTGGACCCTTGGCCCACTAGTTACTGTTGTAGTCACTGCTTTGAATCCGTCAGTTGTGCTGAAACAGCTGCCTTTTGGTTCATATGACCAAATATGTCTTGCATTTCAGACCTCCTTTCTCTTCCAGTGTCTCTTCATTTTCTTGTTGGGGTTGGTTGGGCTGCTTGCCTCTTTGTTGGCCAAGTCTTTGCTATTTTTTATTGCAATAAATTGGTCGTTTGGTTTAACGGCCCAGTTGCCAACGAAACTGGATACTGTGACTAGGTAATTATTGTGACTAGATAATGATCTCTGGCTGCTTTTGAAAACAATATTCTCAGCTGCACCTCGATGTTTATTTTTCTGTAAATGTCTCAACATTTCCCTTGCAGCGGGAAACCCATTATCCAGTTTTTGAAGCTTACTGCTGGTGACATTTTCCCTTCATTTTTTATTAATAAAACGTGCTGCATCATCATTATAACACAAATTATGAGAGAGTGCTCTTGATTGGGTAGATAAACTGAGAAAGGTTATGATTTTACAGCTTTCCATTTAATCCACTTCAATTGCAATACCGGGTTACTTTTTATTTATTATTTCTGTGATTTGCTGTTTTTCTTTTTCTTTTTGTAACAGAACAATTCTGTTGAAGAGCTGAGTGTTAATCCTGGAGGGGAGGGAGCACAGCAGGTGTGTCCATTTCTGGGCTCCTCAGTACCAGAAAGACTGGAGAGAGTCCAGTGAAGGGCACAGAGATGATTACGAGTTTCCTCTGATGAGCAGAGAGTAACTGCAGGAGCTGCACCTGTTTAGTCTAGGAAACCGAGAGGGCATAAGTAATGCACATAAACATCTCAAAGGTGGGTGTCAGAGCACGGTGCCAGACTCTTTTCAGCGGCGCTCAGCGACAGGATGTGGAGCAGTGGTCGTAAACTACAACACAGGAAGCTTCACCCCAACACGAGGAATAACTTCTTCGTGTTGAGGGTGGCAGAGCACTGGAACAGCTGCCCTGGGTGGGCGTGGAGTCTCCCTCTCTGGAGACATCCCAAACCCACCTGGATGCCTTCCTGTGTGACTTGCTCCTGGTGACCCTGCTTTGGCGGGCGGGAGGGTGTGGACTGGATGATCTCCAGAGGTCCCTTCCAACCTTAACAATTCTGTGATCCCACCGGGATCACGTCCATGACGGCTGGATTTCCTGCCACCCTGCAGCTGCCGGCACCGGCAGGTGTGTCTGCGCCACAGCGGGCCGATTTCCCTCACGGTTCCCGGTGTGTCTGTGGCACGCCGGCCCTGTCTCCCCTCGTGGT